GCACCCGACATAAAGTTAGTAGTCATAGAATATACTTATAATGTTGGTTAAATGCTTAATTGACATAATGAAACTTATTATCAGAAGTGAGGTAAAAGATGGGAAATCCTTAAGCATCGAGTGTGAGGAATTTTTTAAAACAAAAGTTCAAATAAAAATTAATATTAACGGAAATTTTAAAAAATTATCACTATAAATAAAGTTTTATTAGCTAATTTTTATTGGTCACTAAAAACTTTAGCTAATAATAATATGCAGACAATTATCTTATTGCCACTAAATAATAGTCGTTAATGATATTTTTTGTTGTAGTGTAAATGCTTAATTGACATAGTGAACCTTATTATCAGGGTAATCTAAGGTGTGAACTCATTCGTGCTTCACTTTTCTTTGCTTCGTCGCTGCTCCCAAGCTTCGTTGTCGCCCCTAACCTTTGTCTGCATTGGTCGCAATTGCTCCTAACATTCATCCGCCATTCGCACGACTACTCCCTAATACTTTATTTCTTTTTATAAATAGTTGTTCACAATAATATATATATATATATATAATTCAAAAATAATTATTTATTTTTAATTATTTTACATGTAATTTGAAAGAAAAAAATATCAGACCAATAAATAGGTCTAGTACCTTTCTAATGTAATTTTTATTGGGCTAACTTAACCTGATTGGTTCATTTGATTGAAACAAATTGACTTGATCTTTTGGGACAAAAAATAAAGAGTTCAACGTATTTGACATATACTAAAGAGTCAATCCATCATGTCAAATCAATTTTGATAACTCTATTTATTAATGAATATCATAAATTTAAATATATAATTCAAAAATTTAATAACAAATAAAAAGTTTCAATGCATGAAGAGTTATATGTAAAAAAATGTTACTAAGAAAAATATGAAGTTGGTATCATTTGTATACTAAAAAATTGAAAAAATTATATTGATTTTATTTTTTCTTTGTTCAATCCTTATTATGTTTGTTATATTTTATTAATTATGCTATTTTTTAAAAATATACATTATCCTTTCAAATCTCTGACTAATGTCCTTTGAAATATTATAAATTCTTATAATATAAATTTATTAAAATTCATATAACAAAATATTAATCATAATTTTTTTTTAAATAATATTAAGAATCATTATATTTTTACAAAGTCTTTTAAAAAAAACTTTAAAATTATTACATTCTTATAAAATTTACTAGACTTTTTCAAAAAAAAAAATAATTAAATAAAATTTCAATCCAATACATTCTCCTAAATTAAATTCAGTACATGAGTGAAAAAAAAATTCAATGACTTTATGGAACTGAAGTCACTATAACTTTTTTTTTTTCTTAAGACTTTGAATCAATCTCATGCTTCATATCTTGACACTTTGTCTTAAAAAAATGCTTTTCTTTTAACAATAAGATATATGTATCTTTATGTGTAACAAAAGTCTTATGAAGTAGAAGCTTTTGAGGTTTTGGTTTCATCTTTGCCACACACATCATCGTCGCGCCTTGTTTCATTATCTTTACCTTGCACCATCTTCAAAGTTTTCATCATCACCGCAACACAAATAATATTTAGTAGCATTTGAAAAATATTATTTAATTATGTATAAATATTACTAATTTATTTTAGCAATATATTATCAAATATTGTATATAATTCATATTATTAAAGACTTTTAATAATATTTTTTACATAATTAAGCAACATTTTTCAAATGTTATCAAAGTAGTATTTTTTTAACATTTTAATGATATTGCCAAAAATTTGTTATAACTTTATAAAATGATAATTAATTTTAATTTAGATATTATTATCAATTATTATATTTTTATGTCTCCTAAATTCCTAGGAGTTCTTTAAGAGAAGATTAAATACATTCTTAATTTTTTTATAGGGGAAGACATTCTTAGCTAGTCACCATTAATCATATATATAAAGTATCAAAGTTCATTTATCTTAAATATAATTATATAATTATATATACTTTTTTATGAATCATTCATCTATTCGATGTGAGACTTTAATATTATGAGTAACAATTAGAGATAAGAGAAATATATTTTTTGAGGAGGGTTCAAACGACACCGGTATAACTTTTACTAAGTGTTACACCGCTCAATAACTTTATATTAAATGCGAATTTTTTAAATCCAACTGTTAAATTGAAAGTTCATATCACTTAAATCATATATACAAAATTTTATATTAATCCAAGATGATTTGATACTTCATTCTTATAAAACAAAATTGACGTAATATATTCATTTCAAAATATACTAAAATATGAACACTTTGATCACCTTTAAATTGTTGTTCAATTTTAACAAAATTTGATATACAAATATAAAGTGATATGAGCTTTCAATCTAACGGTTGAATTTATAAAATTTACAATTAATATAAAGTTATTGAGCGATGTAACACTTAGTAAAAGTTACACCGGTGTCGTTTGAACCCTCCTCATATTTTTTTACTTGATGTGAGACTTTGAATATTTTAGAAACAATTATAGTAATATTTTTTAAAAAAAATGTTACAAAATAACCTATGTGACATTTTTTATTCGATATGAGACTTTGATTCCGAAAACAATTGGAAAGAATAATATTAAAATAAAAAATGTTACTCTATCTATAATGACATTTAAAAAAATGTTACAAAATAATATTTTTATTTAATATAATAACATTTTAACAAATGTAAGGAAGAAAATGTTGCTAAAGAATTAAAATATAGTAGTTTGTTGGTTTACTATCACCCAGAGTTCCTCTTTCTTCTCCCCAACTATACTTGTTGCTAGCACCTAATGCCTTGTTTTAGTTTCAACTTTGTTTTTTCCTTCGTTTGTGGATTGGATTGTTGTTGTTTGTACCACATCTTTAGATGTTAAATATAAGTTAAGGGTAGATATGAAATTTGATAAGATGGTGTGACATTTTTTACACAAATATGATGCATATAAAGGTTTTGGGATTAGAGTACAATTCAAGAATAAAAAAAGGAAGATGATACTACTATTTCTTGTATAGGTTTGTTTGTTGCAAATAGGGAGTACAAATAGCAAACAAGAATAGTGCTTTGATCAACACTCAAGAGCTAAAACTATAACAGACTATAAAACAAGAATTTCTCTTATATTAAAGAATAAAAAGCTTGTCATTAATAAACTTGCAGAACATCATAACCATCCTCTACAACTTTCAAAGACATTGATCTAACAAATGATTCCAACTTAAAGTAAACGTCAACATTTCAATTTATGAGTAAACATGTGCGACATAAATATTTTAAGAGTTAATCACCTATACATTGTCAGTGCAAAGTTTTTTTACACTGATAATTAACTATTTATAATAACATAACACAATTAAAAGATTTAATTAATTATCGGTATAAAAAAACTTTACACTTGTGGTGTATAAGTAATTAACTCATATTTTAATATTTAACAAATGAAACGCGCATATAAACTTTTGACAAATCTATCAGACACGTATGATATTGTGTTGTTGTGGGGCCAAGACAAGAGCATTGAATCAAACAATGAAAACCTGGCATGCCCGCTATTCTTTGTAAACCGAGGAAAAAAAATGTAGATACATACAAAAGTAATTACACTACTTTACCTTTGACAGAAGAGATGTCATCTAAAGACCTGTTTTAGTTTTTGGAAATTTTTTGAGAAGAAAAAAGACGTACAAGTCTGTAGTTTTGTGATGAGAACTTTGTTTTTTTTTTTTTGAAACAGATAATTTCGAACTTGTACATTTACACCGATATTTATTGTGTAACTAATATATATTCAGTGAAGGAAATTTCCTGTTAAAGGTGCATTTTATTTAAGTCAAGTTACACGTATTAAAATCTACACGTTTATATAGGAATTGAATGCTGGAATAGTTGCAACTGTCAGGTGACGTTCGCGCCGCAATGTCACCGAATCCGCGCCCCCAAACCAACTCGATGGAAAAAATAACACCAATAAATTAAAGAACAACATTTATTATATTAATGAAAAGAAAATGGTAACATAGAGTTGAAAGGCTACTACGCATGCAATTAACATGTGTGAGACACGAATCTGAAATGCGCGGTCACTTGAAGCATCAAAATAGCGCAGTAGTGAGATGCAAGCAGTGAAGTATGCTGATGGTTGAGAGTACAAATCTAGAAAAAGATTCAGAGGCTACTAGTGCTTTTTCTGAAAATGATTTATGCCTGTGAAGAGGGTGAGTGAGAAGAAGATCCTCCACTGATGAAGAAGGAAAGAGTAGTGTTGCTATAAAGGAGAAAAATCAATTAAAGCATGAACGTGAATCTTTTTTCTATTGAATGTGCATGCTGTATTGAACCAAGAGAGCGGATATTTCAGCTCAACATTGAAGTGAAATAAAAGCCAGCACTAGGCAGCAGCAGGCCCTTGTCTTGATGTGAACTGTGCCTGCAAAGCTTGCGTAACTCTCATCAAATGAAAGGATACACAAACCAAGGAAAAATTTATTTGATCACAACTTCTTTATCAATCTTTCGCTACCATTTTTAAGCTTCTCTACCAAAAATATTTTATATTCTTAATAGAAAAATTTTCAAATAGATTGATAATAGTTACATGATTTGAGTATTTAATGGGCATATATAACATCTGTTTATAACTCACTAGTCAATTTGATCTACTGTAGTTTCAACTCGAGCTGCATGCATAAAAGTTTACAAATTTTAGTACTGTTAAAAATTCAACCCGATTTACTTTTTCATCTTTATATGCTTCTTTTTTTCTCATTCAATCATTTATTGAAAGGTATCCTTAGTAAAACAAAAAAATAGTAGAAGATTGGTACGTCATTGCGTGGTCCCCACACTGAACCGTTGACAATAACAAAACACAGAGACACAGCACGCAATTATCAATCAGAATATTAATCACAAGGCTTGTGCATGAGTCGGTAGACTCGGCGTTGCACACGTCAAAAGTCTCATTATGTGTCGAGATTCATTAGAAGAATTTAGAACCAAGCTATGGCACCTAAAAAACATCGCTTGCCCCTTTCAACTTATCTTTGTTTTTGTGCATATCAATAAGGGTCTTCACTCTTTAGTGTTAAGTGTAAACGCTTGTTCCTTATTAGCACATAAACCCAACAAGCTGAATTTAAAGCATATACAGACTTTTTAATATGCCTCGATACGAGTCCTTGAGATAGTATTGAATTAACGCCAAAACCACGTCATATATACACAGTGGAGGAGGAGAGCACATTCTTGCTAGAGAACAAACGAGTGAGGATAGTGAGAAGATGATGATGGCTATGGAGGAGAATTATGAGACTAAGCAATCTTCCTCTTCTTGGTGCCTTGCAAGTTGCATTAATTCTTCATGTGTACAAAACGGTCCAACCCTTGCAAATGTTCCTAACTCTGCTTCTCAATCATCAGCTACCAACCCCAAGAACCACCGTGGAGGCTGGAAGGCTGTATCTTTTATTTTGGGTCCATTTCTCTTTTCTAGCTTTTTTCTTTTTTTCTTAATTATGCCAATTTTTTCATGGTTCACACTTTCATGAATGACAACTGTTGGACGAAGATTTAATTACAATTTACATCATGAATACATACTTTTAGTTGTATTAAGGAGAAACAAACGATTCATCCAATCTTCATTTCCACTATTTTGATTAGTTGATTGTGTGAATGATGTGCGACATGTTTTTCGACCGGAAAATTATTTTACAATCCTGTTTATTTAGTTTTCCATGATATACAATCAAGTATTTTTATATAAATTAAAAAATTCAAATACATTTCGTATAATAATTATTACAACTATAGAAATTTGCTATCCTACACTACTTAATGGTCTCCTGTAACTGTAAGCAATGTGGATTCATTTGAAACAAAGCTCAATCAGCAATGATAATTAATTTTCTTTCTTTGGTTTTTGTTAACGTTGCAGGGAATGAAACGTTTGAGAGGTTGGCAGTGTTTGGGTTATTTGCGAACTTTATGGTGTATTTAACAAGAGAACTTCACTTGGACCAAGTTTATGCTGCTAACATTGTTAGTATATGGTTTGGTGTCACAAACTTTGCTCCTCTTTTTGGTGCCTTCATTTCTGACGCCTATATTGGTCGCTTCTGTACCATAGCTTTGGCATCCTTTGCTACCCTTTCGGTAAGGACTTATCTCTCCCTTCAGTCAAATTTATCAATTGCATTTTTAATTAGTATAAAAAATTCAGAATTAAATAAATTTTTTAGTTTTGTCAATTTTTAAAAAAAAAATAGCAGCTTTTATTAATTTTAATTTCTGAAATTTTTACTGATTTTTACTTTTAATTCTTAATTTTTTTTTGTTAGTATTTTGGTCATTTATGTAAAAAAAAGAACTTAGAGAAAAACTATTAAAACTAAATAAAATTTATTTATGACCCAATTCTTAACAAATGTTTGTAAGGTTTATTAACATACAATCACTTTTTTTTTATATATAAAAAGTATATTAACAATTTATAATTATAATATTTGTTAAAATACACGCAATAACTCGTGATGTTCTTACGACAGTTTCTAACGCATGCAGTTGAAGACAATAAAATACATTAGTAATGGTGGGTGGCTAACAATGGAGTACGATGAAACAAAATTATCTATTACATTTAATATTTTAAAATTTAAATTTGATTATTTTAAAAATTAAAATATAAAATGGTATCTAGTATTGTATATACATTTTTATTTCTTCAATATTTTATTTTAGTATAATTATATCTTCAAAAACCATCACAAGATATTAAAGGAAACAAATCACTACTAGAAAAGTGTTATTTTTTTGCAAATTTTCTTGCAAAAAAATATTCGTAATAATATATTTTATTTTATACAGTTAATATTCAGCAATATAATTCATACATATTTAAAATATTTTAAGTTATAACACTACTAAAAAGTGTTATTTTTTTGCAAATTTTCTTGCAAAAAAATATTCGTAGAAAGTTTTTGCGAATTTTCTTGCAAAAAAGTATTTGCAGAAACTTTTTGCGAATTTTCCTGCAAAAAAATATTCGCAGAAATTTTTTGCAAATTTTCCTACAAAAAATAATTTACAGATATTTCTTACAAATTTTGCTACAATTTTAATAATCATAGAAAAAAAATTTCATGGTAAAAATTTGCAGAAAATATTGTAAGAATTTTATTTTGTTTCTTGCAGATTTTCTTGCAAAAATAAATTTGCAAGTAATGTTTACTAAATGGTAGAAAAGTTTTGCAGGTAACTTTTCCTGTGAATTTTCCTGCAAATTTTAATTCGCAGGAAAAATAAAAAATATATTTAAATTAATAAGTTTAATATTTTAAAAAATCTTCAAGTCCCACATCGATTGAAAATAAAACAATTAAAGAGTATATAAGTTGGAATAACACTTACCTTACAAGTTGAATTGTATGCTTGAGTGTTAGGCTTGTAATCTACAATCTTAGAATTTAAAAGATTATGTATGAGGCATGAAAATAAAAGATTATGAATTCTTAAAATATAGAATTTATAATAATTTCCTTGCAAATTTTCCTGCGATTTTTTTTTGCAGGAAAATTTCCTGCGATTTTTTTTTTGCAGGAAAATTTCCTGCAATTTTTTTTTGCAGGAAACTTTCCTGCGAATTTTTTTCGCAAGAAATTTCGCAGGAAAATTTCCTGCGAATTTTAAAATTCGCAAAAATATATTATCCACGAAGGTATTATCTGCAAATAAAATTTCGCAGAAAAATTCGCAGGAAAAGTCGCATGTAATAAGAGAAATTCTAGTAGTGAATATTTTTTTAATCAAATACTAATGAAAATATAAATATTGGAATAATACATGTCATGTATTATAAAAGTATTTTCCATAATCTTAATATTTTTCTAGTAATTTTTCCGTAAATACTTTTTAGTTGTTACAGTAATTAATGGGCTAATTAGTCAAGTTCTTACTCAAATGTAAGTAGATCAACTGATTGTTCCGGTTTAATTGTTTTTTTTAAGAAAAATATTTAGTCTAACAACCAAAAGTTAAGACAAGAATGTCGCAATTGTATTTTCTAAAGAAATAGATAATTGACAGTGACATAAAAAAGAAAAGGACAGAAGGTAGATGATGAAATTGATAGAATGAAATAGAGCCGACCACTTCAATCCCATCTACAGGAACGAATTAAATATAAATTCCAATTATTGATACAAGGTTCTACTAATTCCCTGTCTTTTTCTTTATGTTACATTGTTATTGTTTTTTATTTATTTATAGAAATTACATTGTTTAATTTAATTAAAATATCTTAATAATGAATTTTTTATAGTGTTATTTTATCTTAAATATATATACTAGTAGAGACGAATTTATATTGATATATAAGGTTGTAACTGAATTATTAATTAACCCCCTTTATTTTGTAAGCATAAATTATGTCAATACTAAATATAATTTCTCTTTTTTAAATGTTGATATAGGTATATCAAAAAATATTAATTACTTAAAGGGTAAAATTATTCATCATCACCATTCACAAACTCTCTTTTGATATCTTAATTTTCTATGACATAATGTGGTTGAAACACTATATTTAAAGTTATATTTATACTATTAAGTTGATTTCAATTTCTTTAGAAAGTTAAGAAAATTATATATAACTTCTATGTTTACCTCAAAAATTGATTTTATCATATACCATACTAAAAGATTACAAAATTGTTATATTTAAGCCTAAATACGAGACAACTTAACATTTGTTTACTTATTTGATCACAACTTGATTTGTAGACTTCACTTGAGTGATTCCAACTCTATTGAAAAACTAACATTCAACTACAATTCTCTATATCACAAAATCTAATTTAGTCATATAATATGCTTAGCTAGGCACACAACTTCCAATACAAAATAAAGCTTAACCTAAGGGTTTCAACTCATCCTTAACTTAATTATCCAATCAATCTAATTGTCAAATCATTCTAATCAATCAAACCAAAAATTAAAGTCTAATATACTCGTTTATGCCATCCATTACTCAAATCATATATTAATTACACAAACATCACTCAATTGCCTTAATCTCCAAATTGGTCTACAATAAGAGTTCCTACAAGAATTAAGGGTTCCTAAAAAATTTATAAATATACCAATTTCTCATCAAATGTCATATTCACAACACAATTCACATCAAACACAAGCTAAGGAAACATTTTATTGACATCATCTACTCCATCCATCTATTATCTATTATATGCCCACAAAAAAAAACTAATTTTACGCATATTAAGAAAGTTGGTTATTTGCATTAAATTTTACTACTCCCATATGATTTTTCCTAAATTTTCCTTGTTAAAAATTCTAAAATAAGTAGTGCAACAAAATGGTCATGCATTAAAGGAGGGATATTTTAGGGAAAAAATATCATTAAATGATGTAAAAGTAATTAAATTTGTTTATATTTAAGAGCAAAAAATATTTTTTTCTTATAATAGATAATAGAAGGAGTAACATATTGAATGCAATCAAATAAGGAGCTCTTAAGGTCCCTTATAGAGAAACATACTCAACATTTCTCATGTTGAATGCAATCAAACAAGGGTTCTCAATGTCCCCTACCTAGCAACAAGGAAGCAAGTTGATAGGTTTTCCTTCTTTAGTGGAGAAGAGAAAGAAAAGGAAATATAATACTAAATAAAATAAGAAATAGAGTACAATAGTTTTTATAGCAACATAATAGAAAGGAAAAGGTGAAAATCTCTCCTTTAATTTAGGCCACACATTTAATTATCAACTTTGGTTATTAAAGCTTATGTCTTACATTGTTTTGATATAGCTTATAAGAAATAAAAAAAAAAACTGAGAGAAATATAACCTCACTTCTATGTGAGAGAGATAGTCCTTTTGAGTGAATTATCAAAAGAGTGTTTAATTAGCCACAAAATTTGTGAGATTATTATTATTATTGTATTCCCATTATATTTTCAATGGAAGCTATTCATTTTATTGTCTCATTGTGATTAAACAAAGTGTGGGAAAAGTTAGATCTAGGGGAAATAATTCATTCTTTGGCCTTGTATTAGGCATTTTTATTTGTTATCTTTCCCAACAAGTGGTATCAAAGCTTTGACTCATTATATAGTTTTACTGTGTCTTTCACAAATGAAAGAGTCAACCTTGACAACATCAATGATGATTAAACCCTAAACCCTAAACAATGATGATTAAGTTAACCTTTTCAAACTACTTCATTTGGAAGCCTAGAATGGAAGACATGATTTATACGAACCTTTGCAAAATGAAGGGAAGAAACTTGATGCAAAGTTTGATGCTAATTGGGCTATAATAAACAAGAAAATTGTCAAAAAAAATCAAACAATAGATAGACGAGAGTGTTTTTCATCATGTGGCACAAGAAACTATTGTGAACACATTGTGGACAAAACTAGAGTCTATGTATGAGAGAAAAAATGTTTAATAAAGCCTCCATGATTTGACGATTAGTGAACCTCAAGTATAGGGAGACTCGAAGTGTTTTTGAATACTTAAGCAATTTTCAAGGATTGGTGAATCAACTCACCAATATGAAGATGATACTTGATGATGTGTTACAAGCATTATTGCTTCTCAGCTCTTTAACAAACAATTGGGACACACACGTGGTTTCATTGAGTAATTTAGCTCCACAAAGTGTTCTAAAATTAAACATAGTAAAAGATAACATGTTTAATGAAGAATCAATAATGAAGAAATAAGGGATGCCAACATAGTTTGAGGCACTTGTCACAAAATATCGTGGAAGAAGTATCAACAAGAAATGCACACTAGGAATAATTCAAGGGGCAAATCAAGAGATAAATTTAGAGGAAGGTTGAGGATAAGAAGAGATGTAGAATGCTACTATTGTCACAAGAAAGACCACACGAAGAGGGAATGCAGGAATCTCATCAAAAGAGTAAACAAATAATGGTGATGCAAGTAAAATAGTTGCTACCATTTTTCATTGAAATGAGGAGATATTTGTTTGTTACTGGTTATGTTAATTTGACATCACAAGATATTTGTTGGGTCATGGATTCCAGTGCATCATTTTATGTAACCTAACAAAGGGATTTTTTCCATCTACACAAGTAGTGTTTTTGGTCATGTAAGAATGGGAAATGATAAAACATCCAAGATTATGGGAAAAGGGGATGTTTCCTTAGAAACAAATACTAGTTGTTGCCTAACATTGAAAGACATGAGACATGTTCTTGACATGCGTCTTAATTTAATTTTCGTAGGATTGTTAGACAAATAAGGGCATACTAGTGTGTTTGGGGGGAGGAAACAGAAGCTTACACAAAGTTCCTTAGTGATAGCCTAGGGTAAGAAAATAAGAAGTTTTATGTGATAGAAGATAAAGTCAATAAAGGGTGTGTTAATGCTCTTGGAGAAAACTCCTTAATTGAGTTATGATATAATAGGCTCGGACACATGAGTGAAAAAAGCCTTTAAATTCTAGCAAAAGAAATATATTGACAAGTTTGAAAGGAACAAATATGTTTCTTAAACCATGTATACATCATTTGGCTAGAAAGAAACATAGAGCTTCCTTCTGCTACAAGGCCCCACATAGGAGACCCAATGTTTAAGATTTGGTACACTATGATATTTGAGATCCAATGACCAATTGTAATCATGGAGGTGCAATGTACTTTGTGACCTTAATTGATGACAATTTTAGGAAGGTTTGCACATATATCCTCAAAACAAAAGAACAAGTATTTGTAGTATTCAAACAATTTCATGCTAGTGTTAAGCGAGAGACTAGTAGAAAGTTAAAATGTGTTCGCACTAAAAATGGAGGATAACATATAAGAGCTTTCAGACATTATTGCATATAATGAAATTCAACATGAACAATCTATTCCAAAGACTCCTTAGCATAACGAAGTGGCAAAATTGATGAATATAACTATTGTTGAAAGGGTGAGAACGTTGTCATCCCATGTTAAATTACCTAAGAGTTTTTGGGGTGAAGCTATCATGACTACATTTGATTTTATCAACTTATCTCATTCGACCCCACTAAATGATGATGTTCTAAACAAGTTTTTTATAATAAAGATGAAAGATCAAAACTTGACTTTAAGTCAAAGGAATGCATCTTCATGAGATATGGAAATGAAGAATTTGGAAATAGATTATAGGATCCTATCAAGAAAAAAGATCATTAGAAGTAGAAATGTTATTTTCTTTGAAGACCAAAATATTAAAGATATTCAAAAGGGTGTAAAGTTAATTACTTACAGAGAAAATCCAATCAACTAGGATCATATTACCCTTCTAGAACTTTATGGGGGAGATGTAATAGAAAACACAATAGATGTAGAAGATGAATATCAAGTTGGTAATGATTTTATTGAAGAAGCAGTTGATGGTAATAGAAGAGATGGTATTCATGATGATATGGATGCAAATTATAAGGACAGAGCAAAAAATGATCAAGAGCCTCAGTTGAGAAGATCACTTAGGATGCCTAAACCACAAACAAATATCCTACTATGGAGTATGTGTTACTAATTGGTGGAGGAAACCAAATGATCTTATGGAAAAGCTATGATGGATGATCATAAGAAGGAGTGGTTGAAAGTTATATGTAAGAAGAAATACGAATGATAATAGTTAAGATATGATGACCGAGTCTTTACTTAAGGACAATTATGAATTTTGCAGAGGAGCAATTGGATTATTGGAGCCTTCCACCTAAATTAGAAAAGGGGATTGATGGATTTTCCTTCTTTAGTGGAGAAGAGAAAAAAAGGAAATATAATACTAAATAAAATAAGAAATAAAGTACGAGAGTTTTTATAACAAAACAATGGAAAGGAAAAGAAGAAAAACTCTCCTTCATTTAGGCCACTCATTTAGTTATCAACTTTGGTTATAAAAGTTTATTTCTTCTGTTGTTTTGATATAGCTTTTGAGAAACCAAAAACAAAAAGTTTTTTTAGAGAAATATAACCTCACTTCTACATGAGAGAGATAATCCTTTTGAGTGAATTATCAAAAAAGTGTTTAACCACAAAATTTATAAGATTATTAGTATTACTATATTCCCATTATATGTTTAATGGATGCTATTCATTTTATTGTCTCATTGTGATTACACAAAGTGTTACTAAAGTTAGATCCATGGATAATAATTTATTATTTAGCCTTGTATTAGACAATTTTATTTGTTATCTTTCTGAATACAAGTATATAACATATAAATAACTATCTCATCTATTCAATCAAATAAAGGGGGCTCCTAAAGTCCCTCGTAGAATAACATAACATACAAATAACGAGATTGAAGTCTAATTTTGGTACTCAATAATTATCTCACATCCTAAAATGAAATATTCTATCTTACCTTGAAAAATGCTAAAAGAAAGATAGGGATCACTAAGATGATCTATTGTGATCTTTGCGTTCTCCTACGTTTGAAAGAAAAGAGAGAGATCAATGAGAGAAGTGTAAGTTTTAAAACGTAAAAAAAAAAAAAAATACAACCCTAACCCTTTTTTAAAACTTCCTAACCAAACTATATATACCCTTCAAGTTAAAGAAATTAACCCATTGCCAAAACACTTTATTTTCCTTTTATAATTAAAATACACATGGCCTAAAATAGGCATACTATAAAATATTTTTGCAAAACCTTTCTCATGTTAATAAAAAATCTTTTAATTAATTTCAAGAAACATATACTATTACTGTTATTTTATAAAAGCTATTCTCATATTAGCAAAACCCATTTTTTTTTTCCAAAAGCATATTTTATTTATTTTATGAAGCAAATTTAACTAAAGCGTCCTTTATTATTTTTCGAATACTTGGGATGTTACAATATACATGTAAAATTATAAACTATTTCAGTAATGTGAAATGTAATAATAAAGCTAACTTTTTTTTTGGTTAATTATGTTATTTGAACAAATTTTATTTAAAAAGATCAAGTTCAATTTTACTTGGACTTTCATCAATTTTATACAATAAAATTAGTATAAAAATATTTTTCTAATATGGCAAAGATAGGAGAAATTAAAAAAATGATAGTGATGAGAATCAAATCTAAGTTTTTTTTATCCGGTTAATTTTTAGACTAACTCTAATGGTTCGTATTGTTCAAATTTTTTAATTAACTTTTGAATTGAATATTGTGAAATAGGGTCTGATGGTGGTGACTTTAACATCATGTTTCCCTCAGTTGCATCCTCCACCTTGTACCCCTCAGCAACTAGCATCTAGTCGTTGTGTTAAAGCAAACAACTATCAAATGAGTGTTCTATTTTTGGGACTTTGCCTATTAACCATAGGCTCCGCAGGGGTGAGGCCATGCAGTATTCCATTTGGTGTGGACCAATTTGATCCAACCACAAATGAAGGGAAGAAAGGGATCAATAGCTACTTCAATTTGTACTATACCACCTTCACAATGGTGTTGTTGTTCACTCAAACAGTGGTGGTCTATATACAAGAGACTGTGAGTTGGAAGATAGGGTTTGGGATACCAACGTTTTTCATGTTCTGCTCTGTGATTATGTTCTTTGTGGGCACAAGGCTTTATGTGTATGTGATTCCAGAAGGAAGCATTTTTTCTGGTTTTGCACAAGTTCTTGTGGCTGCCTATAGAAAGAGAAAGCTCAACCTTCCAATGAGCGAGGAGGAGAAGCTAGATGGATTTTACTATGATCCGCCACTTACAGGGACCACTGTTTTGTCAAAGTTGCCTTTAACCAAACAATTCAGGTTAGATATATTTTTGTCATTTTTGAAACTAAAAAGTTCATTAAAGAGTCCATTAAAATAAAATTTTTATAGATGTAAGCACTTCTATTCTATTTTAACTATAACATTGCCTAATGATATTACATTTGTAATATGAAAATCAAGAAATGTCTGGACAAATTGCTTGGATTATTTTACTATAAACAAATTTGATCATGTGAAATGGTATTTTGATGGATTAAAGAAGGCAAATATCTTTTTTAGCTTTTTTTTGGGAGGGGATCATTTGGGTTGAGAAAACGTTTTTTATTTTTTATTTTTTTTCTTTCTAAGAAGTTTAAATAAGAAATAGTAAAAATACAAAATAAATAAAGAATTTTTTTTTTCATTATTTTTAATACAATCTTTTAAAAAATAGGATATGAAGTTAACATAAAGTGTTACGTTTGTAATTGAAAGTGAAAATAAAAAATATTTTCACAAAATGAAGAGGTAAAAAAAAGAATTTTTTAATGACCAAATTACTCTTTTAATCTATCATTTTATATAATTTATTCAATTTACTTTCTCTATTGTTAAAATGCTAAATTTGATCTTTTAAGTTTAAAAAAAAAATGCAATGAGGTCCTTTCTATCAAATTGAGATTAATATACAATACTAACTTTGTGTACATGTGGCATAATAAAAAATGGCATGTATTGTTATCCACACAAAAATTTAACATTGTATGTCTCATTCAGACTAAAAGAACCACATTGCATCATTTTAAAATTTTTATGGATAAAATTAGACCATTTAATATTAAAGAGACTTAATTGAACAAATAAAATAAAATAAAAGACCAAAAGAATAATTTAACACTTTCTAATTTAATCGATTTCTAAACAAACATTAACACTAACATGTATAATTGAAAGGAATAGATTTTCTCTATGAAATTTTCACTTAGATTCTCTCTAGTGAAATTTTTTTTACCACTAAAATCTTATAGTTTTATTATTATTATTATTATTATTATTATTATTATTATTATTATTATTATTGTAATTTAAATCTCGTCTCACTTTTAATTCAGGATTGAGATTTCACTATATAATAGTCATATGAAAGGATATGAGCCCAAAATTGAAAGCTTTCCACATATTAATTTTACATAGGCTAATTAATGTCTCATGTGCTAGGGTCCTGAACAAAGCTGCTTTAATAATGGAAGGTGAGTTAAACCCAGATGGGAGCAGAGTAAGTAAGTGGAGAGTTGCCAGCATCCAACAAGTAGAAGAAGTTAAATGCATAACAAGAATCATCCCAGTTTGGGTAGCAGGTATCCTTAGTCTCACACCCATGACACAACAGGGAACATTTATTGTGTTACAAGCATTGAAAATGAACAGACACATTGGACCCAAATTCCAATTCCCAGCTGGCTCACAAGGAGTCATATCACTAATCACCATAGCTTTATGGCTCCCATTCTATGACCGAATCCTAGTGCCAAAACTTAGAAAAATTACCAAACATGAAGGTGGCATCACTATCTTCCAAAGAATTGGAATTGGCATAGTGTTCTCTATTCTTTCCATGGTTGTGGCTGGCTTTGTTGAAAAAGTGAGAAGGGATTTGGCAAATTCAAATCCAACCCCACTTGGAATTGCTCCCATGTCAGTGTTTTGGTTGGCCCCACAATTGATCCTGTTGGGTTTCAATGAGGCCTTCAGTGCAATTGGACAAATTGAGTTCTTCAATAGGCAATTTCCTGAGCATATGAGAAGCATTGGCAATTCCTTGTTCTGGTGTTCTTTTGCTGTGTCCAACTATGTGAGCAGCATATTAGTCAACATAGTTCATCATGCTACTAAAACACATAACCATCCTGATTGGTTGACAAATAACATAAATGATGGGAGGATAGACTACTTTTACTACCTCATAGGAGGGTTAGCCACCCTAAACATGGTTTATTTTATTTATGTTGCTAGAAGATATCAGTACTAGAGGAGTGTGAACCTCCAAGATGAAACTCGTGAAGTGCAACTTGAATTGGATCTCCCAAAGCATACAGTTAAAGATAAAGATCCTGGTGCTCTATATATGTATGAAGACTATTCATAAATAAATTGAAAAGATTTTTTTTTTCTCCCCAAAAGTTATAAATATACGAATAAAAGATTTCATATTACTTTTAGGACCGAGTGTCGTTGTACATGAAGATTTGACATATATACAAGTAATAAAAAGAGTTTTTAATTTTGGCTATATTTTATAGCTAGAAGTGTGGCTATTGTTAAATATATCTCCATAAATTAATAACACATCTCAATTACCTCTTTTTCTTCTAATCTATTCTCTATTTTTTGTGTAAAAATATATTTTTTTAAAAGTATTTTCTAAAAGAGAAAAACTACTCTTCTAAAAAATACTTTTCAAAAATATATTTTATCCTTAACTCCAAAAAAAGATTTAAAAATATATTTTTGGAAGATAAAATATACTTTCAAAAAATATCTTTTAGAAAAGAAATATTTTTACTCTTTTAAAAAGTACTTTTTAAAAATATATTTTTACTTTTTTTGAAAGTACTTTTTAGAAATATATCGAAGAATAAATGTATACTTTCATATAGTACTTTCCAAAAGAGTAAAAATATAATTTTAAAAAGAACTTTTCAAAAGGATAAAAATATTTTATAACAATAATAATAAAAAAGTATATTGTTTCTAATTAATAATTCATTGTAAAATCATATCCAATATTTGCAATATTGAAGATGGGGTTAAAAATTAAGATTTATAAAATGTTAGAAGTTAGAAATATAAAAGAAAAAATAGGACTTAAAAAATAAAATAAAAAATGAGTTAGTGAATGTTTTTAGCATAAGAAAATGAGTGAAGGAAAGAGGGTGAATGAAAAAAAATAGATTTTGGAAATAAAATTTATTTTGAGAAAAGCATAAATTAAAAAGATATTTAAGGAAATTTATTAAAAAAAAAAGATGAAAAAGACATATCTATTAAAAAGGAAGGTGTATATAACATATCTAAAAGTATCGATACATTAATTTAAATTGAATTTGGTAAAGTTTATTATCTAATTCAATCAAAATTTAGAAAATAAATCTTGTTGGGTCAATTGAGTTTGTCAATCTAAAATTATTTTAAATTCTTTAAAAATTAGAATTCAATTTGTCAAAGACTAACTAATTGTTATATAAACAAACTATATTTGTACATATTCTTATTTCCATTGAATACAATTTTTTATAGGCCCACCAAACAAACTAAATAATCTAAATAACTAATAATAATAATAATAAATATTTAATTATTTATTGTACATATAGGTTGAATTTAAAAGTTAAAACTCGCAATCTAATTCCTATATGAATAAATTAGATTAATTTGATCCAAACACTAAAAAAAACCTAATCTAAATCATTGAGTCGGTTTGAATTTATAGATCATTATTTGCACTCTTGAACACTCATAATTTTTTAACATTTTACAAAAATTTGACAATAGATCATATAATCAATCTACAAAGAAAGTCATGTATTGATCACCCATAAATAAATCATATGATCAATCTATAAAGAACGTCATTTATTAATCGTAACGAGAATAATATAGAAGATTCATTATTTATATTAATTATGATAACAACTAAGAATAATTAAAAAAAATAGTATAACTATATTTCGTGTCTTGCATTATACAATATTTCAATTTAAAACGTTACAAATACAAAATTAAATAATTCATATTTTACATTCAATTTAATAATTTAACCGTTTAATTAAAAAATTTAATTAATAGACCAAGTTTACAAATTCTTACAAAATTTAAAAACAATTTAGTGATTTATTATATAGATTCAAATTAACATATAAAATATTTTTAAAATTATTGTTAATTTAAATTAATAACATAAATATTAAAAAAAATTCAAAATTTTAAAAAATTTAATATCATCATACTACACTAACATAATGTGTATAATAACAATTTTTTTTAAAATTATAGTCTTATTATCAAAATTCAATAATTAAGTAACATAATTTAAACAAAAATTACTTTTAAAATACAATAATTAAGTAACATAATTTAAACAAAAATTACTTTTAAAATAGTGATAAATTTTATCCAATTGTTAATAAATATTAATAACAAAGTTTCTAACACACTTATTTTAATATATTCACTTCATTGATTAAAAATCATTAAAAATAATGAAAATTTTCAACTAATTAAAAAGTATATGTATATAAAAGAGTGGGCGATAGAGTTACGTGTCACATTTCTCTTGATTTATTTATTAGTAGATATTTTCCGAAAAATCATGGTCCAAAAATAACAACTGGCCACGTGTACTGTACTTCACGGGTCCCACGTTAGGAAAAGCGAAAGCATTAGTTAGGTCGAGCTGAAGCCATGTTTCTGATTTCCCACTTCCCTTCTTTTTCCACTCTTCAGTCCTTCACGCAACAGAGTTCGAAGCTCAAAGCATTCTCATTACCATTCGCATTCGCATTCGCTTCCTCCAATGGATCCCTCCTCGCTCCCTCCCTCTCTGCACCTCGCCATGGCCGCGCTGCTCGGAGCCTCCTTCATGGCCATCTCCGCCTTCTACATCCACCGCCGCACCGTCGACCACGTCCTCCACCGCCTCGTCGAGCTCCGCCGCGCGCCTCCCCTCACCTCCGACGACGACGAAGGCTCCGACCACGCTGATCACGCCGACGACGGAGAAACGGAGGCGGACACCGATTTCAGAAACTATCGCCGAAACTTGTCCAGGTCCATCGACGACTGCAACTCCAACGTGCTTCGGAGCTATAGGATTTCCTCCTCCATGCCCAACGTCGCTTCCACAATGGATTGGTTCCAAGAGGACCCTACGAATCGCGCTTCGTCGCTCGAGAATCTGCAATTCGTTCCGTCGGGGCTCCCGTCTCTTCGAACGGGTTCGACAAACGGTGTGAATGCGTCAACTTTGTACTTGTTCAGTACGACAAATAGTGTATGCACTCATAGAGTCAGAGTTAAAGGGATTTTATGTATGATGCCTGACTTGTTTAGTGTCACCTTCCTGTATCATAAAACTTTATCTTTTAGTTAAAAATGTTCCATTTGAATCCCTATACATACCATTCTTATTCTCTTTTAGTACCTATTGTCTGTTTCTAAAGACACTAATAAGAAAAATTTATGTAACTATAGGGAGTAAAAGAATAAAAATCATTTGAATAAAGATTAAAAAGGAATACTTTTGATTATAGATATTAAAAGGTAAAATTCATGAAACTATAAGGGTTAAAAAGTTAATTAAACCTAGTTTTTTTTTTATACCAACAATGCATAGTAATTAAACTATTTTTTTCTTTGGTTAAAATGTACTTTGTTTTTTTGTTTGCCTAAATAGTGTTTCTGTGGTTTTGGTTTGTGTAGGAGAGAGTGCTCAGATTTCGTGTTCCTATAAGAGGATAGCTTCTGTTGGTAGGATTATGACCCCGAGATCACCGGGGCACACGTTTGAAAGTGCTGATGATTCTGACGAGGAGGAAACTCAGCTTGTCGATGACAGTCGTATTCCTTTCCCAAATACCTACGTGAGAATGATGATTTCTTATTTGTTGGGTTGCTGAATGCTGTTTAAAACTTTGTTGAATAAACTATGGTCTGTTGTTGATTGTTAATCAGGGGGCAAGTTGAGAAACATGCTTTCGTGTTTTCACTATTTTTAGTTACAAACTTGCCATTATATCGGGATTCAAATGATGGGATATTATTTAACTTGAGGTCTAGAGTTATTGCTTTTTGTTTGTCAACGTAGTACTTTGATGGTTATTCATGGGATATAAACTTGAGAGGCTGCTTTTTTTATTTGATAATCTGGAATGTAGATAGTATTGGTGTTGTGTGGTGCATGATCATAAATCTTTTGGCTTCCTAGTTCCGAATCCTTGCTCATTTTTGGTGTGTTATTGTTCATTGTACAATTATTTCTATCCTTGTCCTTTTAGTGATTCATGATGTTGCAGGGACTAAATTCAAACGTGTGCAATTTGTCTGCTGTTCCATTCAGAGTTGAGGATGCAAACTGTGCAAATAATCAGATGTATGGAGAGGCTTCAGAGGAAGGGAAAACTGGCGCTCATATGAATGGTGATGCAATAACAGATTCACCTTCAGTACATGTAGCTGGGGATGTCACTAATGTCTTGCCTGCAAGAAACTTTGTGCATGGTACTTTCACATCGCAATCATAATATGTACTATTCTTCTGATTGCTTGTATATTTTTTTCATGTTAAATAATTATATTATTATCCCTGCATGATATTTACATACTTTTACCCTCTTTTTGCTAATCTACATTTGCTCCCCCCCCTCCCCAAACCATATCAAGCAATATAATTCTTTTGATTTTTTTTTGGTCATTGTATGATTTGTATAAATGAAGCAAGATTGAAAAAGCTAGTGTTTAATGCATCTTTGTTTTACTCTGCAAAATATGTTCAGAGACAACAAATATAGAAGAGGAGGAAGTATGCAAAATGATTCGAGAATGCTTAGATTTGCGTAAGAAATATGTTTACAAGGAAACAGTTCCATGGAAGATTGAACCAGTGGAAACTAACCCTGACCCGTATCACTTTGAACCAGTTGAAGCAACAGCAGTAAGTTTGCTGCTTCTCTGTTATTACATATTGATTAGTTCAGATATATGCTGCTACATGTGGAATCTGATTGAGTTATTAACACTCAATTTTGTTCTGAAGTTTTTTTGTTGATATTGTTATATTGCTCTGAAGTGTTTGGTTAATATTGTTATAACTGACTTTTGGTGTTATAAACAGCACCATTTTAGGATGGAAGATGGAGTCATACGTGTTTTTGCAAGTAAAACTGGTAAGCTTGGAGCGTTAACATGATATCAATGACTTACAAATATCTTAATTTTATACAGTATTTAGTTTGTTAAAGATGAAAGAACTGAGCTTTCTGTGAAACTGTGCAGACACTGAAGAGCTCTTCCCTGTTGCAAGCTCAACTAGATTTTTTACTGATATGCATTACATTCTAAAAGTTATGTCTATTGGGAATGTTCGTTCTGCATGCTACCATAGGCTACGCTTTCTTGAGGAAGTATGTTTCCACAAACTTGTATCTATATGATCTATTTGTGCTTGCCTGTTGAATTTGTTTGTAACACGCATCTTGTCATTATACAGAAATTCCGCCTTCATCTATTGTTAAATGCGGATAGGGAGTTTCTGGCACAGAAGGGTGCACCACACCGGGATTTTTACAATATCAGAAAAGTAGATACTCATATTCATCATTCTGCTTGCATGAATCAGAAGCATCTTGTGCGCTTCATCAAGTCAAAATTAAAAAAAGAACCTGATGAGGTGAAAATGTACTTTTGGGTTCTAGTTTTTTTTTTTTTTTTTTTTTTTTTTTTTTCTGAGAGCATAATGCTGTTACCTGTCTTCCCCTTCCATGTTGCCCTTTTATTTTCCAGATTACCAGTTTTTCTTAATTTTTCTATCAGTATTAACCTGTGTTAACAGGTTGTTATCTTTAGAGATGGGAAATATATGACACTTAAGGAGGTTTTTGAGAGTTTAGATTTGACCGGGTATGCATTTGTTCACTGATATTTTTCATCTAGCTATTTGGAAAATGAGTTTGGAATATATTTATGTTCTTGTGTGTCATCACCTTTTCTAATTAATGGAAAATTATGATGCAGATATGATCTGAATGTTGATTTGTTGGACGTCCATGCAGATAAGAGCACATTCCATAGATTTGACAAATTCAACCTTAAGTATAATCCTTGTGGACAGAGCAGACTAAGAGAGATATTTTTAAAGCAGGATAATCTTATCCAGGGTTGGTTTCAAAATAAGAATGTTCCCTATTATTTACTTGTATATTATGAATTCCAATCAAATATTAGAAGTGTTAGTTTATGCTTCTTAAATTGATAATTAGCTTAAAGCCACCAAAATTGACAGGAAGGTATCTGGCTGAAGTAACAAAGGAAGTTTTGACAGATCTTGAAGCAAGCAAATATCAGGTTATTTATACTTGATATGTTTTTATTTTATTGTATTTTACTTTATTTTTTTTTATTTTGATATTCATATCTTGATTCATTTTTATGTATAAATAAAATTTTCAGATGGCTGAGTACAGGATCTCTGTTTATGGAAGAAAGCAGAGTGAGTGGGATCAGCTGGCTAGTTGGTTTGTTAACAATGCTCTTCACAGTAAGAATGCTGTATGGCTAATCCAGGTAGTGTTATTAAGGCATCTATTGGATTGGTTTACACTAGTTTCCAGTGCATTTATGGTAAAATTTGTTCCCGTGATGACACTAACCTCCATTTTCCTAGTGAATTCTTAAAGGATTACTACTTGAGTAGGTCTTCCTTATCTTTGAGTTTAGGACCGTTTCATTTTTTAGCCTAATGACATTGGCAGTGGTACAGTGTTAAGACAGAATCTTGACAAATGCACTTGGGAAATTGATCAAAATCACTTCCAACTTAACATGGGGCCTCTAACATTTGTGTGCTTATGATAGCGCATGCTTTAAAAATTGAGCCTTTTCAGCTTCTTTCTCTTCCTCTTAATTATAAGATTAACTTATGTCATTATCTCAAGAAGTGCACTGTAATCCTATTAAACATTTTCTGAAATGTATGATGTTTAATTGCATCAGCAGCAACCATATCATTATTGCAAACAAATGAACAGTATTTTCTTTGTTGTCCTTTTGCCATAAGTTTTTTTTTTCTACCTTTTTGTAGGGGTCTTCCGCCTCAACTTATACTATACTTTTATTTATTGAGAGTAGTGATTGTTGTCACTAGAAAATGCTGCGTGCTTATTGAGAACTGTATTGAGTACTGAGTGGGATTGACATTTAGTTTAAGAACTAACCTAGTCTCCCCAAACCACACCATGTCATACAACCTCTCTTTACTGGAGGTTGAAACTACCCTTTCAAGGACCGAGGGAGACAGATATCCCTTTCCCATCACAGGAGATGTTTTGTCTTAATTTTTCCTTTAAACATTTAGTTTAAGAACTAACCTAGTCTCCTAAACCACCCTAACACCAACAAAATGAAAAGAAAAAAAAAAGGAAATGCAAAAAAGGGAAGCTAGTTAATATTATTTGTGTCTTTTAACTACATGCAGGCAAGTTCACATTCATATGATATAGATTCTAATATATATAGTGGAACATGTGCAATTTGTTTTACAAATAGATGAAGTTAGTACTTGGTTCAGACTATTTGTGTCTTTGGAACTACATGCAGGCAACTTCACATTTATATGATACAGATTCTAATGTATATAGTGGAACATGTAGTGCAACTTGTTTTACAAATAGATGAAGTTAGTACTTGGTTCAGACTGGGTCTTGAGAATTAATTGGAATTTATGTGTACTCTGTTTGATTTGATATAATGTTCCATATCTGGTAGAGTTTGTTTAGAATTTTGATTGGTGCTTTGACTGCTTTCCCTTGGGCTGTCTTTTAATTTGGAATTTTGGAATTATTATTTTGTTCATTGACTTTGATCTTGTTTTCTGAACTTTTATTGGCACAGTTACCACGGTTATACAATGTGTACAAGAATATGGGAATTGTTACCTCCTTTCAGAATATTCTGGATAATGTGTTCATTCCTCTATTTGAAGTCACAGTGGATCCAAATTCTCATCCTCAATTACATTTGTTTTTGATGCAGGTTAGTCAACCTGTGTTTTTTTTGGTTGTGTGTGAATGCATACCCTACTTCTGTGTGCTTGTATATGTATCTAGTTGTATAGTTACATAATTTTCCATATGTAACATTATGTATTTCCTGGTGTAGCTGTTATGCTGTGCCAATATTACATGAGACAACTGTTAGGTAATACTTTGCCTGTGCCACTATATGTAAATTTGCTGTCACTATTGTTTCATTACTGAACAGTCTCTTAATTGGATGGATTTGGTTATGTCTATGCCACTAGTTACAAGGTTTAATTAATAATCCTGAAGCTAAAATTTTCTTGAGCTTCTTTTTGGTTTTTGCATGATAACCAAGATTATAGTAGGAAAAGGGGAGTTGAGGGTGTTTGGATGATTAGGAATTGATCAGGGTTAAATGGATAAAAATGAGGGTGTAACAAAGTACACAGCTGACATGAACTATTGAGGATGAAGATTTAGGTGTGAATGGAAAGAGGGAAGGTAGTCAGGATTTGGTTTGAATGGGATGGAACAGTGGAAAACTTGGGGATGAATGGAGAGAGAGTAGGGAGATGAGAATAAAGAGGAGGAAAACAATTCAGTTACTGGAAATATTGTGGGACTAGAGTTTGCGTATCATAGTCTAGGCCATCTTAGGGTTGTCATAAATAGAAAACATGTTAAAGTTACGAATCCAGCAATCAAGTGCTGGCAACTGAAGAGTGATAAACATTTGACTTTTATGAAGAAATTATTGGAGGAAGGTAATTGGGAATCACAATGTAGTAGTGAGTATTAACCTTATTTGGGTGAAATGTCTAAGAATGTTAAAAAGGTTGCTAAAGTAATGTTGGGTGAATCAACAGGTTTTGGACTAATAGATAAGGAATTGTGGCGGTGGAATGGAAGTGTTCAAGAAAATTTAGAAACAAAATATTAGAAAGGCAAGAAATGAGATGAGGAAAACTGCGAGTGAGATAGGATCCAAAACTTTAAAGGAGTTTTACAGAGATCTTGAGACAAAGAATGAAGAACATAGGAGAACTATTTATAAAAGTTTTTCAATGATTGACCTCTAATATGGATCAGAAATCCAAGGAGACAAACAAAATTTGCCTTATTATCATAAAATTTGAGTTGATGCTAAAGAAACCATTAGGACCATGAATAAGAGTGAAGAAGTTGTCTTTGGTGGTATTCCTATCGAAGTTTGGCAATGTGTGGGACAGTAGGGTATCATTTACCTTGCTAAGCCATTTAATGAGGCCTTGAGATCTAAGAAAATGTTTGACAATTGGAGGAGCTGTTTGGTTACTTTATTATATAAGAACTATGGAGATGTAAAGAACTGTTTTAGTTACATAGGGATAAAACCTATGAGTCTATGAGATAAACTATGAAATTATTGGAAAGGGTGATTGATTATAGATTAAAAAATTAGGATTGCAAAAGCTCAATTTAGATTTATGACAAGAAGGTCTACAACCAATGTTATCTTCTACGGGAGTTGATGTAAAGTACTGAAGGATAGAAAGAGACTTGCATATATGGTATTGATTTACTTGGAAGCAAAGATATTCCAAAACGTGAACACTGTTGAAAAGAAAGGTATTTGTGTGACTTACATCTAGACTATACAAGACATGTATGATGGGGTAATTATTACTTTGAGAACTCCTGGAAGCGAGACTAGGACTTTCTTATGAGGATAGACTTACACCATCAGGGTTAAACTTAATATTTAATCTAGTCTCGACATGCTTAGGACTTACCAAGAAGATATAAAAGATTACCCCTAAATATATGCTTAGTTTTGATTGAGGAATAAGGGAAGATGTTAACTCCAAACTTGAGCTTTGGAGACAAACATTTGAATCAAATGGTTTTAACTTGAGTAGGAGAGGAGTAGCACTATATGCATTGCAAATTTAATGAGAAACAAGGGGAAAGTGACTTGGAGGTATAAATTAGAGAAAATGTTATGCCATAGGTTTTTAAGTTTAAAGTTTAAACATCTGTAATCAATGTTACAAAATGGTAGGGAAATCAATGAAGAATGTCACACATAGGATATAAGTTGCGTGGTTAAAATGGAGAAAGACACTGAGAGTTATTTGTGATTGCTAAACACCTATCAAACTTAAAGCAAAAGTTCTATGGCACAACTATACTAGAAAGGACAAGATGTTAAAATGGGTTGATGACCACACTACAAAGGACAAGATACAAATGATTGTGTACAAGGAAGCATTAGTGATACTTATCAAGGAAAACGAGGCAAAAGAATGGTTCAGGTGATTTAGATACCTGCAAAGGCCATTGGAAGCATCAGTGAGGATAGTATATTGTATGATTTTTACCCATGTATAAAGGGGTAGAAGGAGACAAAGAAGGATATTAGAGAAAATCAATAAAAGAGATTTCAAGGTAAATAATAGTTTGGTTTTTAACCAGGCTCAGTGATGCGTGATCTATGTAACCAATTTAACCTAGTGAGATACAACTATTATTAGGGTTATTGTGTTTTCAGAAATTTTTCAACTATGTAAATTCCAAGTTCTATAAGTTTGATTTGCTATGATGCCCTTTTGCTCCTGTTACTAATTCCTAATATTGAATTTAAATTATCACTGAACCAAACCCATATTTGTCAAATCAAACTGATTTTCTGCTTTTGTTGCTGTTGGAATGCAAGCAAAGTCCCATATCGTTCAAACAAGAGGATGGACATGGGTTTATATACACACTTGTCTCCATTGGTTGAGAGGCCTTTTGGGTGATGTCCAAAAGCAAAACCGTGAGGGTTTGGACCCAAAGCGGACAATATCTCACCAATGTTGAGACATGTGTATATGTGTGGTAACCCCCCCTTGATGCACAACAAGTGGTATCAGAGCCGATGGTCTGAGGTGACCGGCTCGACGAGTATGATGGTTGGCAGGTAGATCCAAGTTTGAGATCCCTTGTGTCGAAAGTCTTCCTAACGGTGGGTCCATGTGGAAGAGAGGCTTCCTGGTAACATGGAGGGTTAGGAGGCGTGTCCCTTGTTAAGATGCAAGCAAAGTCCCACATCGTTCAAACAAGAGGATGGACATGAGTTTATATACACACAGATAACTCCATTGGTTGAGAGGCCTTTTGGGTGATGTCCAAAAGCAAAACCGTGAGGGCTTGGGTCCAAAGCGGACAATATCTCACCAATGTGGAGACATGTGTATATGTATAGTAATCTCCCGTTCACAACAAGTGGTATCAGAGCCGATGGTCTGATCAAGTGACCGGCTCGACGAGTATGATGGCTGGCAGGCGGCGGTGCAAGCACTCTGAGCGTGAGTGAGCTCTGTGGCATTCAAACAAGAGGATGAACATGGGTTTATATATACACAGTTATCTCCATTGGTTGAGAGGTCTTTTGGGTGATGTCCAAAAGCAAAACCGTGAAGGCTTGGGCCCAAAGCGGACAATATCTCACCAATGTGGAGACATGTGTATATGTGTGGTAATCCCCCTTGATGCACAACAATTGCAAAGCACTTTTTAAAAAATTCTATGAACTGCTTTATTGTAACAAAGGGATGCATTTACTATACATAGATTTTTGTATCACAGTTCATAAGCCTTTTTCAGTAGTAGAGAATGAAGTCGAGTTCTAAGACACATTCACAATCAAATTTGTTTCTCATCTCAACAATGTTATTGCAAGTATTCTCTGGATGTGTCAACTTTGATTGTTGCTGATTATTAAAACTGACAGATGAAAGATCATGAACAAAAGAAGCAATTATGTTCTTTCTAGAGTTGCTTTCTTTTTTCTTAATGTATTAGGTTAATATGTTGAGCTTCTTCTGCATACAGGTGGTGGGATTTGATCTTGTAGATGATGAAAGTAAACCAGAAAGGCGTCCAACTAAGCACATGCCTACTCCAGCTGAGTGGACAAATGAATTCAATCCAGCATACTCTTATTACCTTTATTACTGCTATGCAAATTTGTATACGCTCAACAAGGTTTACCGTTGCCTTTTTAATTCCCTTCTAATTCTAAGGCCAATTATGCTTTTGTTTTTTATGTTTGGTTTCCAAGTTCAAGCACATCAATGAAAATAATAATAATAAAAAAAAAAAACAAACAGGAAAAGATGGAGCAAGAATAGATTTACAGAAGACTTCCTGGTTATCAACAATATTAATATCTCACTGTCGGTTTCAGCTGCGTGAATCAAAAGGAATGACCACAATAAAGTTGCGGCCTCATTGTGGAGAGGTTGTTTTCAATATATTAGCTTAGCAGTATGGTTTAATTCTTTATGTTCAATATGGTAGTTATAATCAATCAACTCATGCAGGCAGGTGATAGTGATCATTTGGCTGCTGCCTTCCTCCTATGCCATAACATTTCTCATGGGATAAATCTACGTAAAACTCCAGTTTTGCAGTACTTGTATTATCTTGCACAGGTTAGCTGGTTAGCCCTCAGGAATATTCTTTTGGTCAACTGTAATGTAGTTGAAAATTGAAGTAGAAATCGTATTCTTTACCAATACTTATTTCTCTTTAACCTGATAATTTGACAATATATTAATACCATTCTGTTCTCACTTTAGGTTGGATTAGCCATGTCACCACTTAGCAATAATTCCCTTTTCTTGGACTACCATCGCAATCCATTGCCCATGTTTTTCCAGCGAGGTCTAAATGTTTCTCTCTCTACCGATGATCCTTTGCAAATTCATTTGACAAAGGAGCCACTGCTAGAAGAATATAGTGTTGCAGCAAAGGTTTAGTTTCTCCTAAACTCCTAGACACCTTAAATATAAGTTGGTTAAATATTCTGCTGTCTTTTACAGTTTTACTAGAGATCACATATATGACTTGAACATGCGCATTGCAGGTATGGAAGCTTTCTGCCTGTGACCTGTGTGAGATAGCTAGAAATTCGGTCTACCAATCTGGATTTTCACACCAAGCAAAGGTAAACTATAAGACAACGTAGGAATTTTATGATTTTGCTCATCTGCACTAAAAGCTTTACAGATGTATGCATATTCTTAAACTTGCAAGCACTGCGGGAGAAATTAAATTGAGTTTGTTGGTGTGAACTCGCCTAGAAACCAACTGTAGTATGGAAAGTTGATTTTCTTAAGTTAGGTTTAGAGTCTATTTGAAATTTTAAATACAAGTTAGAGACGCTTTTGTGAGCTTCTTTACTGAAAAAAAAAAGTATTTTGTAGTAGAGAAACTTTCAAAAACACTTCTAAGTTTGTATCCAAACAGATTTTTAGTATATCAGTTAAGTAATTACACTTGGTCTTCTCTAAGTTCTTGTTTACTTAGGTTTTTTCTTATTTAAGAATGTATTTTTTTGTTTACATTATTATCATAACGTTTTCTCCCTCCTATCACAGGCACACTGGCTTGGGAATCAATATTTCTTCAGAGGTTCTAAAGGAAATGATATTCATAAGACAAATGTTCCCAATTTGAGGCTTTCTTTCCGATATGAGGTGAAAAAAAACTAAAGACAAATCATATATACGTACATTTTGATTTGTATTCATTCTTTCATGATTACCATTTTTATGTTTATTCTTTCTTGCTTACAATTCTTGGTGTTTATGCAGACATGGAAAGAGGAAATGCAATATATTTACGCAGGTCAAGCCATCTTTCCTGAAGATGTAGACCCATGAAGCAAGCCTAGTGAAATTCACCATTCACACCGTGATAGCGCTAACAATAACATCGGTACTTTGATCAATGTTCTTAGCAGCAGCAGCTTTGGTAGTGACAAGTTATCGTAATCTTGAAGCTAAGCAACGGTTATATCTTAACGTAATTGCGAACTATCTAGTGATATGCTATCTTAGCACTCTTAGTTCCTATTTGCCTCATAATAATGAACAGATAATGTCACCAAACCCTGGCATTTTTACATGGTAGGGGACACTAATGCTAGTTATTTATTAGAAGTAATTAGTAGTTATTATAATACAATTCGTCTTCACAGAGATACGAAAGTAACTTACACGACACTTTTTCACATAGACTAATTTTTTTAGTTCAAAATTATTAAGAGTTTAATTACAAATTTGATCCTAGTTGTACAGGTTTGTTTTGGTTTTTATATAAGCACTTTTGATCAATGACGTTAAAAAAAGAAAAGTTAACCTCGCTAACCGTAGATGATGTAACATGATATATCCATGATGTAGTATCGATGTGTTGTACTTTTTATTGTTGTCGAAGTCTAGCAGATATAAGACGAGGGCAATCTATTTTAAAAAATACCTATTATCATGGAAAGAAATGAGATATGAAGTAAACTAAAATATCTAGTTGAATATAGAGTAAAGTATTTAGAGAAATCAAAATGGAACAAAACGTAAGAAAGATGTTAGTTGGGGAAAGGAAAAATTTAACAATGGAGTGGCAAATTGAGTTGGTGGATTCAAATAGGTAAAAATAGCAAAATGTAAAAATTCTAGACATTGGTTTTAATGTGTTTTTAGTCTTTTAAATTTATGGTTATTTTTTTTCTTCTTAAATTTGAAATTAATCTTCGTAATCTTGTAATTTGAAAAAGAAATTATATTCTTTTAATATTTTAGGTGACTAATAGTATAATTGATAATGACAAATTGTAACAATTATGTTATATTAGTTGAGTTTTATGTGATGTTTTAAAAAAACATATTATAAATTTTATATAATAGTATATGATAGATTTGTTTATGATATTTAAGGAGAAAGATTAAAATAAGATTATTTAAAAAAATAAATTATAAGATTACAGAATAATTTTGAATATGAAACATCAAAAATAAATTACTTTCATATTTGAGTAATTAAAAATATATTTAAATCTTATAAATTTTTAAAGTGAATACATTTGTATACTCTCAATACAATATAACTATGCTATTGGTTATAGTTATGCATTAGATTAGGAACTTGGGATTATGGCTTGGTGGGTTGAATATAGTATGTAAATCGACATAAATGTTTAGGAGTTATACTAACAGTATTTAACTCAATCCTCTCGTCTTCTCTAGTTTGATGTATTTGCCTTCTTTCTTTCTTCTTTTATTACTTACGTATGTCGTATCCTTCACATATATCTATTCTATTAGTCAAGGATATATCTATTTTCTGAAAACATTTTTAAGACCATTTTGTTCAGGTAACCACTTCCAACTCACTCTTTCTCTCTCTATCATCTTTCTTTTATTTTTATTTTCTCTTCTTTACTTTTCTATATATTTATTTTTAAAATTTCTCGCACTCTATTTAATCACACACTTCTTTTATCTTTATCTTTCTCTTATTAATTTTTATAAAAAAAAATGTTGAGATATGAAATGTTTTTTTTTGTCTATTAATATTTTTTTTTTTCGTTCCTGGAATATTCACTATATTGAAGACACTTCAAAGAGTGTGATAGCTGGTCCCAAGATTTAATGCGACTGCATACAAAAGGTAGGATTGAAACTCTTGACCTTGCTTAAACATGGATCAACCCCTATCACTAAATCACGCTTGAAGTTTTTGTCCACTAATGTATATAACAATGATATTACTTCCAGAAATAGGCACTTTTGTTATGTGCAGTGGATAAGTTATTGGTTGTCTTGGGATTCTCCGATTCTTAAGTTTTAAATTTAGGTCTCACAAATCTTCATTTATTGATTCATAACATTTTTAAGTAATATAATGCATATGACAGAAAAATTTAGTGACCGGAAAGTAAATGTTAATGGCGAATCTATAATGGGCTCATTCTTTAAATTTTGTTCACAGATAAATTTTAACTTTGAATATTTCCCCTCCTCTAGAATAAGTCGTGCATTTTTCAAAATAAAAAGCATATGCTCCATTTACGAGGCCTCAATTCAATTGGTGTAACAGCTCACACATTTGATTTAACTGCCTTATCCTTTTATGTCGGTGAGCATATATGCTATACTATAAAAACACCATTCTAGGTCAATATTTATTATTAAATTTCGTGGCCCACGAATAATATATTCCTTTTGGATAGTCTCGTGTTCTCGAATTTTTCGAGTTCCACTGGTTAAAAGTTTGATTAATATAGTTTAATAAATAAATAATACTATACTTGGACTATAAATAAGTTAAGTTTAGACTTTATAAATTGGACAGAGTTACCATTAACCATGATATCCTATATCCTAATGCTTTCTTTTAGCGTCAGCTTGACCAATGCTAAATTATGTAATTATTGGAATAATAAATTTGTTCATTTTATTGTAATTGTATATTTGCATCGTTTATTTTTCAAAAGTAGGATTCGCCTACGAAAACTTTTATTATATTGGTGTATTTAGTGTGAGCATGGCATCAAACTTTTGTGTGTTGAACTTTTCTATCCTTCACTTTTTCATATGCCTTAAATTTAAAAAACTTGAACCATTTTTTATTATTAATTAGGTTAGTTCATCGAGTAGATTAACCTACATTATGGACTACTTAGTCCACTTTATAGATGACAAAATTCACTTTTTTTAATCTAGGTTAAAATATATTTTTTAGTTTATTATAAAATTATTAATTTTATCTTTTAATTTTTTATAATTTAAAATAGATATTTTTAGTTTGTTTAATTATATTTTTTAATCTTTTTCGGTCATTATCATTAATTTTATTGTAATATTATTTTTGTATAAGTGACTTAAACTTATTAAATTTACATGACATTGATATATTTAATTTTGTAGATGATGATGTGCCATATAAACATATTTCGATTCTAATATATATAGTAATAAGAATGGTGAAGGTTAGGGTGAGAGATTAAGGGATGTCTCTCACTATAAAAACTCTTTTAAGGCCATTAAATTTCATTTATTTTGAATTAATGGGTTACATCTTTCTATACTTTACTTTTTCTTTTTATTTTTTTTTTCCCAATTTGTCCTTGTATAATGTTTCTCTTTTATCACTAAATACCTCATTTGCCACCACCTTCCTCTGTGCCCTTAATCATTCACTATCACTACTTCCTTCCTTACATAATGTTTGGTTGGAAGGAAATAAAGATGAATTAGGAGAAAAGAGAAATTCTTAAAAACTTTTATAGTTTTGTTCAACTTTTTGAAGGAGAGAGGAGGGGAAAGAAGAGAGAGCAAAATCCCTCTTAATCCAATTTTAACTTCTCTCCAATGTTAGAGGGATTTAATTTGGAGGAGAGAGAAAGAATTTTAAAACATTTTTAGTATAATATCTAAAGTATCTTTATTTATGTTATTAAATTTAAAATTATAATAATACAAAAGAAAATTAATTTTTAAAATCTCTTTCTTCTCCTAGTGAAAAAAACAAGAAAAGAACTACTTCCACTAGTCCTCTCCCTTCATCTCAAGTCTCAACCAAACAAATCTTGCAGCTCCCCCCTTCTTTCCCTTCCTTTGTTCTAAACGAGAACTTAGTTTTTTCCTCCAACAAGTCTGTCATGATCATCCTCCAAATTACTCGTGACACCACCAACATTTTTGGCTCTATAAACATGATGGAACTTCACAGATGAATGGTAAAAAAAATTCCTTTATGTAACTCCTAGCTCCCTTCTTGTGCTCCCATGATCATGATTCTCCAATGAAGACACATCAAAGATGAGGTAGAACAAGTGAATTGGCACACCTACTCTCTAAGGAAGAGAGAAGCAAGAAACAATGATCACTAGCCATAAGGAAGGTTTCCTTAATGAAAATGCTTAATGAGAGAATTTCTCCTAAGTGACTCAAGAGAGTTTGAAGAGAGAAATAAAAAATATGAATCTCAAAAGTGTTGCATATACAAGGGAGATGATCTTTATAGAACTAGGAAGCTTGTGAAGAAAGTTAGGATAACTAAAGTTCAAGTTGAACCATGGTAGCCTAACATAGGTTTAGCTTAGGTGCCTAATTTGAATTCAAATTCAAATTTGGCCGTGAACTAAGGAAACCCATGAACTCTTAGATCTAAGGAGTTAGAACAATGCATTTGAAAACATTCAAAGGTTTGGTTAATTCAAGATCAAAGTAAAGATTCAAACAAAAACAAATACTACTAGAAGTATTAACATATAAGGACTATCATGCCACAAATTATCATAATGGTTGAATTCAAATCATACTATCATGAATCAAGGCTCAATCAAACAAAAATAAAGCATGGATCCTAAAAGTTTCAACAAAAGATTGGTTCAAGAATACAAGATCAAAAGTTTTGTGAACCAATTATTTTTTAAAAAATGTAGATCTATCAATTTCATGCAAAAATTAGATCTAGACAACCCTATACACATCAAGACAATCAATAATTGATTTAGACAAGACAAAATAATGAAAAGAAACGCATAGCTTCATGGAAGACAACGAAGGCTCTAGATACCAAAATGATGGAACTCCATGGAGGAATGGTAGCCAAATTCCTTTATGTAGCTCCTAGCTCCCTTCTTGTGCTTCCATGATCATGATTATCAAATGAAGACACATCAAAGATGAGGTAGAACAAGTGAATTGGTGCACTTACTCTCCAAGGAAGAGAGAAGCAAGAAACAGTGCGCACTAGCCACAAGGAAGATTTCCTTGATGGAAGTGCTTAAGAAAAGAATTTCTCTTAAGTGACTTAAGAGAGTTTGAAGAGAGAATTCTAGAATATAAATTTGAAATACACTCAAAAGTTTTACATATACAAGAGAGAAGACCTTTTATAGAACTAGAAAGCTTTTGGAGCAAGCTATGATAACTAAGGTTCAAGTTGAACCATGGTAGCCTAAGGTAGGTTTAGCTTAGGCTCCAAATTTAAATTCAAATTCAAATTCAAATTTGGACGTGAGTTAAGGAAACTCATGTGCACCTATGTGCTTCTAGATCTAATGAGTTAAAAAAAATGCATTTAAATGTCCCTTGAGATGCATTTGAGTTTGAATTGGACCAAGCCTTGTGCACCCCCACATGGTCGATCACATGGTGCCAAACTCAAACCTAAATATTGTAACTTGGATGACCCAAATACATTTACAACCCCAAGGCCCAAAAATACAAGAAATCCTATACTATTTGGCTCAAAATACAAGGCCTAAAACAACTATACTACGAGGCCCAAAATATAAGGCCCAAAAGAAAATAAGTACAAGAAATGAAAATAAAAGGTATTAGGCTTAGTCATGTAGTAGCCTATAACTCAAGATAAGCTTAGGCCCACTAACCTCACAACAAATTCAATTATCTTGTATCCTCCTAGCCATGGCCCTAGTATCGAACCCTTGGCCATGCCTCTTCCATCAAAACATCACACGTTTAACTCATTGATCTCACCTTTCTTTGATGTCGTTAGTAGTTATGGTCACATCAAGCCCAACATCCTTAAACTTGATGAGTAACAGGCATTCCTATAAAAAAGAATAAAATCAAAGCCAAAATTGACACTTGTTGGATATGGTTTAGTGGTGATTCCCCTCTTCTCTTCACATGTCGCATCTCCTACTACACCAACTTGTTGGGTTTTAGGTTCCCTTCCTATGTGGATAATAGACCCAAATGTGTAAGTCAATTATATCTCACTTAACCAAGTGGAGAGGGGTCAGGTCAGGTAAGAGAGAATGACTCATTTTGAAACAAAACAACAACAAAATATAAAGAGAAGAGAAGAGAGAAAATTTCTTTATTGAGTTCACATATCCACTAAGCAACAGTTTTCAATTTGAAATTGAAGATTAGTTCACTATTGTATCAAACTAAGTTTTGGATAATAGGTTTGTCGGACATGTTTCTTAGTTTTCAATGATTGGATTGTTAAAAGGAGACTTGTAGTGAGAGAAAAATGTTTCATAGTAATAACTCTATTTTTTGGGGCTTTTCATTTTATTTCTCATTTGTAAGCAATTGTGCTTAGTTTACTTTGATTGATTGTAAGCATTATTTGATGTGTTCATCGTGTACTTTTTGTTGATTATAGTTGAGTTTTTTTTTAGTTTAAATGACTCATAGTTTTTTACCCTACATTGAGGGCTTTTGTGTCTATTATGCACTTGTGATATCTATTTTTGATCTATTATGTTGGTGTTCCTTGTTGGTTCTTACAAGTAAAAGATTTAATTTCCATTATGCTATTACTTTTTATTGAATTGATGTTATTGTGTTAGACTTTCCCATCACAACCATCACTCTCCTCCACCATATCGTCCAAAAGATCAAAAGGAAGTCAATGACATCATGGTCTATTTTCTTCAACGTTTCAGATAGATTATAAACAGTGTTTTCAAAATCGAATCGTTATTGAACTGATACAGACATTGATTCAAGGTTCAATGATTCAACCGTCGTTGAACTGTGACCAAAACAATATAAATAATACAATAATAATAATTATTATCAATATAATAATATTAATAAATAAATATGATATTATAATCTTATATGATACTAAATATTAAAATAAAATATTATTTATAGATTCTCAATATTTAATATACACTCAAAATTTTAAATTATATAAAATATAATATTTGAGGTTTAAGTTTTATAGTAAAATATAATAATGTCCACTAATAATAACAAGTTTACATCTTGAATAAAAAGTATCAAATTAATATAATATAAACTATAAAAAATAAAAATATTAAAAATATATATTAACATAAATTATTAAATTATATTTATGAGACAAGTATTAAAAATAAGTTATTCTAATTTATAATTTTTTTATTAAATATGATTTTCATTAAAATTATTCTAAATTAAATTTGACAAATAAAAAAATTAATTAGACTTATTTAAACTAATTTGATTAATTTTTTTTTTTATCGATTTTACTAATTTTGACTAATTTTAAAATAGTTCAACTGATTTTTTATCAATTCAATATAAAATGATTTTCTGATTGAAGTAAATCGATTGAGGATTAGTTTCCGGTGGAATTAATTTGATCGGTCGATTCGATTTTATTTTCAACAATGATTATAAAACCATATCATGGAGGGGGATAGATGGCTCTCTTTGAACTTCTATTATTACGCAAGTCTTAAGGGTTGTCTACCTTTTATATAACCATTTTCTCAATAATTTTTTTTTTCCTTTAAACATCATATCATTATTAAAATTTTCATTTACTCAACTGGTAAGAGTTGAATATTTAAATTACACAACTTGTGAAACTTGATTCATTCTTTACATACAGTTGTATTATTTTTATTTCATTTAAATAAAACATAACTAAGTTGTTAGCACAAGTGTATTTGTACTTCAAAATTAAGAATTAGGGTTTAATTTTTAGTTTGAGCGTGAAGTCCACAAGAGATATCACTTCATTAAATATTTTATTATTTTATTGAAAGCACTCTCTCTTAATGGTAATTAGTTTGTGACTCAAAGAATCTTATCCGTTTTCTTAGTCATGGTCACTTGCATGTCTATATAAGGCTTTGCCACCAAACAATTATCATTCAAACCAGTTGAAATCCAAACTGCCTCAAATCACAGTCCCCATAAAGAGGCAGCAATATTATGGGAATCAAATTTTCCCATTTGAAATATGTTGAAAAATCACCAAAACCAACATCATCCCAGAACCAAATACTTGCTTTCCATTCTCCTGATAAATGGAAGGCTCACTTTGAAGCATCCAAAGAAACAAACAAGCTGGTGAGTTTGATAACCTAATTACTTTCCAATCAGTATCATCATACTAAAATTATGGGATTCATGTGATAATTAACCTTTTTTTTTCTTTACTTTAAGATGGTGATTGACTTCACTGCTACATGGTGTGGACCGTGCAAATTCATGGAGCCAATTATCGAAGAATTTGCTGCCAAGTACACAGAGGTTGAGTTCATTAAAATTGATGTGGATGAGTTAAAGGTACGAATATAAATCCCTCTCAAAATCACAATACATGATTTCAAGTAATATTTAACCTAGATCTATTTTTTGTACTTTTTCTTTCAAAGCAAAACATAAACCAAATACGTTATCTGAAAAACTTAAATAAAAAAAAATACTAACAAAGTAACATTTTAAAGTTGATCGACTTTTCCCTTTCTCCTCTTAGCTTCAAGTACTGTTTTTTTTTTCTTGTCTCCTTACTTTTCATCCCTTTTCGTACTTAAACTTTGTTGACTTTTTTTTTTAATAAGAATTTACAAAAAGGTCTTCTTAGAGATTTAATTTGTTTAAAATTAAGGAACATTATTTGAACGCTTATGTTGTGTTCAATAAATGGAAACAGGGGGTGTCCCAAGAATTCAATGTGCAAGCAATGCCAACATTCATCTTGATTAAGAAAGGGGAAGTTGTTGACAGCGTGGTAGGAGCAAGAAAGGAGGAATTGCAGAAATTGATTGAGAAACACAGGAAATGAGTATGTCTTCTGATCATGCGCATGGCTCCCTGCAAATATATATACTAGTGCCAGGGAAACTAAGGCCAACTATATAGGTGTACATATATATTTGCAAGAACATGATGGTGTATTATGTAAATCAACTAGATATGTATATGTTTAATATTGAGTACGACGAAACTATTATTAATGACTCGCTTTATGTGTTGGATTATTATGTTTAATTAGTACTTATATATTTTTCAAAAAAAAAAAAAAAAGAAGAAGTCGGGTCTCTAATCTAACTTAATGAGATTTTTTTTTCTAAAACGTTTTTTTCCCTTCTGATTTTAAAATTAAAATAAAAAATATTAATTAATAAAAATTTAAAAATTAATTTATTAATTATTCTAATATTTTATTAGTTAATTAATAATAAATTAATATTCTAGTTAAATTAAAATTTGATAAACATAAAACGTATACACAGATTAATTTAATGATTAATTAATGCAATAATTTAAATTAATTTACAAGTTAATTAATGCTAAATAATTGAAACTTCAAACATTAACTAACAGAAAAAGAAAATTATAAAAAATTGGAAAAAATTATTTAAAACATTAAAAAATATTCAAAGAAGAATTAAAAATAGTTACTCATGTTGCCTTGAACTGGAACACGTTGGGAACATTTTTTCTTTGTATAAGTGTGTGACTTACAATGATCACATCTCAATGGATGACTTTTTTTTTTCTTCAGAGATTCACTTATGTACAAATGCGCATGGATCGTGAACAACTTGAGATGGAACAAAGAAACATGTGCAAGTGGACGTCAGCGACGAAACCTTCGTTGTAATAGGAGATTTTCACCGTATAATTAACAATACGTTTTGTTATAGTTTTAATTAATAAAGTTGTATTGTCTAATACGATAAGTTTTTGTTAATTATTATCATTTAATAATAATTATGTGTTAAAGTAAGTTTTTGTTAATTATTATCATTTAATAATAATTATGTGTTAAAGTATTTTAAGGTATGGTATTAAAATACTGAAAATTAAGGAACTCTCGAGAAGTTTTCAAGTGTATGTTTTAGAAGATTTTTCTGAGTAGAAGTCTAATTTGACCTTGAGAAAAGAAGTATATAAGATTTCTTTTAAGAATTGAGTCTCATAAATTCATTTATCAGAAAACTTAAAGAGATAAACTAGAGAGAAGAACTTAGGAGTTCTAATTCTTCTTTTCTTCCTTCTAAACTTCAATCCCCAAGGGCTTAGAAGATCTTTGTTGATCAATTGAGTTGTGATTCAAAACTGCTAAAGCTAAAGATTTGTGTTAGAGTAAAGCAGCTCGAAAACATTATCTTCTTCTTCCTTTTTTCTCTCAGATTTTGAGAATTGGAGGTAAGGGGATTTTGTGTAGATTGGATGTTCATATTTGGGTTTCAATGTTTTCTTGAATGTGTTTTGATTTGTAATAATATGTAAATGCATGTTGGTATTCTGAGTTGATTCAAGTTGTTGATGATATATGTGAATAATATCTTGTGTTGCATGTTGGAGGTTTTTAAGTTTCAAGTGGATTGAGCAAAAAATGTGAATTTGCTAAGTGCATAATTCACATCGTGTCAGGCCTAGCTTCAAGGTGCTTAACTTGACACATGTTAAAGGCTTTGTGTTTCACTCACGTCGAGCACAAGATTGGTTACGCAGGGCATGAGATTAAGGAAAAGCTTTGACTTGATCACTCTGGATGTGGGTCGAATGACACTAGATGTGAAGAGAGAGGAACGTCACTAACTTGGCGACGTCGAACCCAAGATCAAGTGGCGCAGAGTATGGCTATATGCCATATGTGTTATTCATATGCTATGCTAAATTGTAGAATTATATTGAGGTGTTGTTGTGTTGTTCAAGTTGAAGAACATGTTGTATTGTGTTAAAAAGATGTAAGTTGATAATGTGTTGAAACAATTTGAGTTGTTTATGTTAATAGTATAGTTGCTTTTATTTTTGTACTCACTCTGTTGATTTTTTTTAATTCTATTTTATCCTTTCATGTTTTTCATGTAGTTGAATTACGATGATCATATTTAGTGTTAGGGTAGAATAGAGATAGATTAGAAATTGAGCTTTTACAACCATGATGGCAATGTAGATCTTTTGAGTTACCCTGGAGAAGCTAGTTTGTAGTAGTGTTGTTAGATCGACAACTAGAATTCATTTCCATATTAAAGCTAGGATATATACATACTTGTTATATGGTTTAGTAGTTGATAAACTTTTATTGTATATATATTATGGCAAGTATATATATATTAGGTTTGTAAGTATGTGAATCCTAGATAGTTTTTTTCTTTTTTACTCTATTTCTTGTAGTTAAATTGTTAATTGTAGAGATCATAACAAATGGAATACATTATAAAATAATTTTTAATTTTAAATAATAGCTAATTAATATATTTTTTTAAAATTAGAAAAATAAAAAAACTTAAATATGTTTTTAGTCCCTCAAATTCAGGATAAATTTTTTTTCGTCTCTCAAATTTAAAATTATTATTTTTAATCTATGTAATTTTTAAAAATCTTGTTTTAATCATTATAATCAAATTTTGTTAAAAAAATTGTCAAAAATTATTGCATAAAATTTACTTACTAGTGTCTTTATTAGTAAAAATATTATATTAAACCTAGATGATATTGCATAACAGGATTTTTAAAAATTACAGAAATTAAAAAGATTAGTTTAAAATTTAAAGGACAAAAACATATTTAAGTCAAAAAAATATATTAGGATAAATAATTTATAGGAGTGTTATTAATGTAGATATTTATTTTTATAAGTAATTTAGGGATTAAAAATATATAAAATATTATTATATTCCTTACCTATAATAATAAAATATGACATAATTTATAGATAACATGCGAGTTATTAATTAAATTTCTAATTCATAAATAGTAAAAATATTTATTAGAAAAGATCAACTCATAAATATCAGTATATCAAAAAATTTGTATTTAACATTTCAACTGACAAGGCATACCTTAATTTAAAAAAAAAATAAAAATCTTTTACCTATGATAAATATTCTTTATATATAGAGGGAGGGACGGAGGAAGAGAGAGAGAGAATTAATATTTAATGTTAAGATAGTTTCAAACCGATTGAATTTCTAATTTGCCAAACACCCTTTGAATTTTTATAAATGTAAATGTTAATTAATACTCTATGGCTGCTCACTAAAGAATAAAAAGTGAAAAGTTTTTTTTGAGTATTATTAATGCATGTTGTAAAAAGAAAAAAAGTAGTATCAATACGTTTCTATCATAATTTCTAGCAAATTTTTAGTGTGATTTTAAAAAAATTTATTTTTATTCATTGATTCCTAATTAGGGTATTTTTTTTAAGGATACATCATACATGTTTGTTAAACGTACTCTTAATTTTTATTTTGAAAATATTATAAAGTTCATTTTAATTTAATTTATTCTTTTGATTAGGGCTTTTTTTTTTCTTCCTACTATGGGGTGTAACCAAAACAAATCAATATCTTAAAGAATGAAAAAAAAAATACTTCTAAAATTTAAACAGATCTATGCACTGCTTCCAAAAAGTAAGATTATATATCTTTTAAAAAACATATAATTAGGAGAGAAAATTTGCACACCTTTCATCAAGATCTTCTCGAACAAGCTATCTTATAGACCATAAAACAGATGGTTAAAAGTTTAAACAAAGGCTAATAAGAAAGAGTATTGAAAACAAAAGGGGAAGTGAAGCTTCTTTGGTGGATATGTATGGATCATGATGCTACACAGTAAACCCCAGAATATGTTCTACCGACAAGATAAATCTAAAACTAGCTATGAGTACTGCATAGCCTAAATAAATAGGAACCTTCTAAATTAATGTCTAAAACAAAATCCTTTAATTAATGTTCACTCACGTTCATCTTGCATTTTATCTTGTGTTTGGCAACCAAATTGAACTGGATATTTGTATAAACATTATATAACTAGATTCGGGTTTATTTTCATAAATTGTGATATATAATATCTAACTTCTTTTATTATATAAATTAGATTAATTTTTATATTATATAACTCATTAAAATTATATTTAAATTATGATAATTTTTAATTAATTTTTATTTTATTAAATGATTTATTTGTAAAATGACGTATATTTATTTAATAATAATAGTAAAATCTTCTATGTGAGCTTTTGCCAACAACTCTAATATGTAATTAATGTCTTATTTAGTAATATTAGCAGTATTAAGTATTAAGTAGTCACTCGTTATTTTTCATCTATCAAAATTATCAAGATCTCCAAACATGTAATAGTATTGTATTTGATAATAAAAACATTACAATAACAGTAGGCGTATTATTTTGTTGCTGAGGTGTAACTTCTATGCATGTAAAAGTAACAAAATCATAACAAAAGAACCTCGTTCAAAGGAAAGGAGGAATGAAAGAAGATAACATAAATATAAGCATCTTAATTATTCAAAATTTTAAAAATAGAAACAAACACAAATCAGGAAAAGTAACTAAAAAAAAATCTATTTTTTCATTATTATAACAAATCTCAAGACTTATGAAGTGATTGAGACTGAGATAGAATCAAAGAATGACATAAAAGAGAAGAAAAAATATATATTTTGATGAAGTTAATTTCTGATTTGGTAGAGGCAAATGAAAAAAGAGAAAGAATTATAACATTGAAACACGCATGAGAGAGATTCTTTCATTCTTCATTGCAAATATATTTAATAGTCAGTATTGTGATATGAAAAGAGGAAGAAATATGACATGAGCTTATTGAAAAAATAAAAGCAAAAATTTTGGGAGTTGAAAACAATACATAATTATAAATATTTATTTTACAAATATTTTATGTTACAAGAATTTTGAGAATTGAGAAGGGTGCATAATTATAAATATTTATTTATGAAAGGCCGGATCTATTCTATAATTATAGTCAATTACAAAATAATTAATAACTTAAAAAAGTTAGAAAAAAATATTATGAGTGAGTTAGCTATATTATAATTATTGTAAAAATTATTATATAATTATTACATGTTTATGATGAACTTGTTGACTTTATTATAAGTAAAATAAGATAATATGTGTCGAAAATGATTTCATTGATAAAGGTTATCAAAGAGTGTGAAATAGTCATTGGTATTATGATATTTTGTTTTTTTATCAGATTTTTTTTTCTTCATAAAGAAGCATGATATCTCCTTACTGTATCGGTTTTTATGAAGATAAAATGATATAAAGTAGGATTAAACTCTGATCATATATAAGTGTCCAATAACTTTAACGAATTTTGGAGGTATTATGATATTTACTTCTGATAAAGGACGAATTTCCATTCACATGCTGACATGCATATATATCAATTTGTTTGGCGTCAACGAAAAAAGAAAATATGTCCCGTGTCATTTTTCATATATAGAAATTTAAAAAGCTTGTCTTATACATACCTCGTCACGTGATATATTTGGATCTCAGTAAAAATTGAGGCAATTTAGAAGTAGATATCTTATTTTTTGAAATTATAAAAATCATATTCAAATCTTGTGGTTTACAAAAGTTGATTGGTCGACATATCACAATTCAACCCATGCAACTGAGAAAGAGAGAACTATGAGATGGTGACCTCAAAATATTTACAAGCCACACAAATTTGAACATATTTCCTTTAATAATTTGAAAAAAGAAGATACCTAATCATTTTATATTTCAATATTTTTGCTCCAAACAAATTATGTGAAAGTGTAAACGGGCATGGTTTGATGCTTTAATATTTTTTCTACCTAAATCATTTTTTATTTGCTTTATATTTATCTTTAATGTTATTTTGAGAGATATATGCTTCTCATAAATTTCGTAAATATAGTAGTTTTTAATTACTATTGATTACATAGATTAATTAGAATAAAATT